GACCGGTGACTAGGGCTCCGGTGCTCTGAAGTCGGGCGCGGGACGCTGGGCGGGCGGGGCCCGCGCCCTGAGGCAGAGGCCAAAGGGGGCGCGGACTTATAGGAAGTGCAGGGCAGAGCCCGGGGCACCTGCCCTTGCTGCCTGCCCCGCCGCTTCTCAGCTCCGCGCAGGCGAAGCTGCTGGGGGACGGAGCATTGGCCTCCTGCCGGGTCCGCGTTCCCGCCTTCCCGCCTTCTGCGTCCAGCCTAGTGACAGTGGTGAGTCCCTGGCCCTCTCCGAGCGGAGTCTCCTTCTCTGTCACTAGAGGATGAGACTGGAGTGCGTACCTTTCAGGGTTGTTGTGAGGAGTACAAGAATAAAGTACTTAGTGATAGTAGAGAAGGACTGGAACCAATCTGAATGTCTCACTCGGATATTGGTTACGAAACTGGAGCACATACTGAGAAATCTCCCAGAAATATTGTTAGGTGGAAAAGCAAATTACAAAATAGTTTGTGCAGTAAGACTTCATTTTTGTGAAAACACACATAAAACACTTTTTCTTTTCTATAGATATATTTTTAGTAAATGCACAGGGAAAGGTCTCGGAGGTTATATGTCAAACTTAATGAGAGGGTGCACTACAATGTGGAAGTCAGTTTCTCTTCTATGTGTAAATCCCACTTTTTAATTACAATTTATTAACGATTGCAAGAGACTTGGTGTTTCTTATCGAAACAAACAAACCACAGAATTCCAAAATACACATTTTTCAGGACTTTTGTGAAGAGTAGCAGTGTAAGGTATTTATATGTACCTTGGATAAATGGCTTAGGGTGGTGTCTGATCCCTTTGCTGACACCCTGGGGCCACATATTTTAGAATTTAGAATTTTTCAAATTTGAGAAAGATATACAGTAACCTGACAACAGAAAAGAGCAACACTCAATCAAACGTGTTAATTTTTTACGGAAGAATATATAATACACACAAAAATATGCATGGTAAGAACTGCTTGATGAATTTTTACAAACTGATCAAATACATTAATATCTATGCTGTATAACATTTGAACATTTGCATTAGGTGGGATAAATGAAGATTACAGATTTGCTGTTATCATTAGGCCAGGTAATGAAAACCTGGGAGTTTGAGATGTCAGAGCTGAAGATTGCAGGCTCTAGACCTGTGTTGGTAAGAGAATGTTACATGAGCAAGGCATTAAAGGGGAACCTAAAAAAATCTTCAGGAACAAGAAAGGATGGGAGCTGAAGTCCCTGGATAGCTCTTCGGGCTGGTGTTTGCTTATGTACTGCCTCCTGCCCCCACCCCTCCCTCCTCGCTGCTTTGCTCTTTTCCCAGGAGTGTGTTCAGATGCTGGCCTGGCGGCTACAGGGAGACTGAAAGACAGGCACCTGAGCCTTAGGCCAGGGGAATGGCAGCCCCCCCAGAGCCTCAAGACCAGGCCCCTGGGGAGGGAGAAGGGCTTCTAATCGTGAAAGTGGAAGATTCCTCCTGGGATCAGGAGTCTGCCCAGCAAGAGGATAGCAGGGATTCCGAGGCCTGCCGCCAGCGCTTTCGGCAGTTCTGCTACAGTGATACAGGTGGACCCCACGAGGCCTTCAGCCAGCTCTGGGAGCTCTGCTGTCGCTGGCTGCGCCCTGAGCTGCGCACCAAGGAGCAGATCTTGGAGCTACTGGTGCTGGAGCAATTCCTGAGCGTGCTGCCTGGGGGTGTCCGGGACTGGGTGCGAGAGCAGTGCCCACGGAGTGGTGAGGAAGCTGTTGCCTTGGTGGAGGACCTGCGGAAGCAGCCAGTGAGAGCATGGCCAAAGGTGAGGAGCCCCTCCCATATCCAGGGGCACCTGTTTGGCACTAGAGCTGAAAAGAGGTGGCCATCTCCATAAAAACAAGTCTTCCAGGGGTGGTGGGGATGCAGAGCCAGACAGAGCATCCATCGGAGCATGTCATAGCAAGTATTACCTTTCTGAAAGATACTGTCCAAATGAATCTCGTTTCTTTTAGGTAGCTTTGGACAGCAGCAATAGGACCAAAGTGGGCACGTTCTAGGAAGGCAGGTTTTAGCTCCACACAGGTTCTGCAAACATTTATTCGTGTTCTGCTCTAGGCCAGGCCCTGGGGATACAGTGATGTGCGTAGTGAGAGCACCAGAGAGGGCATGAGAAGGTAGAGCTGTCCGTGTGAACTCTGCTGTCTTGTGGGGTGTTGGGTCCTTGACACTGGAAGCATCTGGAGAGGTGCTAATAAGTGGCTGGGATATGGGTTTCTGTCCTTCACAAGAAGGTCTCCCCCTCTCACCCTTTCTAAGTGGCACTGTGATTCTATCCTTTGGGGTCTGGTTCTTGCCTTGTGCTTGACCTAGGAGTGTCCCTGGGCACATGGCACTGCTTGGTGTAACATTCTTTTCTGGACTTTCCTGGGGCCTCATATTAATCTCCTTCCCCAAACCCCAGCCTCCTGAGGGACTTGTCCTGTGTCTCCTTCCCAGGGATTAAACTCTGTCTCCCCCATCTGGTCGCGATGCTGATGAGCATGTTGTGGTTCCTGCACAGGATGTGCCCTCAGAGGAGGTGGAACCTGAGGCCACAGTCCAGGGATCCCAGGCCAAGAGGCCTCCCCCGAAGATAGGGGCACGAAGCCGGCTGCCTGTTCCCTGGGAGCATCACAGCCATGGTGGTGAGTAAGGTTATAGGCTGAAGAATGGCTGGGCAGGGGCCTGGCTCCTTCCAGGGCATTGCACTAAGGGTAGCAGGAAGGATATTTGCTCTATGAAGCTTAGGCATGTGTGTGGGTGCATGCACAGGAGAATGTGTAGCATCTCACTCCTGGCTTGGGCTGTCCTCTCTGAGGCTTCATTCTTTTCTTTCAGCCCAGCCTCGTGCTCTTCTTAAAGAGGGGAGTACCAAACAGATGACGAATACCTGCTTTGCCTCTGGGGTCCATGTGAGTTACCAGTCCTTTTGTCCCCTTTGAGGCCCCCAGTGTTGATGAGTCCCTAAAATGGGCCTTGCCTTCTCCATGAGGCCTCTTCCATCTATCCTGCTGCTGCCTGGGCCCATCCTATTCCCCATCCCAACCTACTTCCTGTCCCCGCCCAGGGCTGCCTAGGGCGTCCTGAGCAAGGCAGCCCTGAGCAGGGTTTCTCACCTCATTCCAGGGACCTGTGACATTTGGAGACATTCCCTTCTATTTTTCCCAGGAAGAATGGGGGTCCCTGGACCCTGCTCAGCGGGATCTCTTCTGGGACATAAAGCGAGAGAATTCCCGGAATGTTGCCCTGGGTAAGCAGTGGATGGAGCCAGAATCCTTGAGGTCCTTGGCAGTCTCCTTGCAGGTTCCAGCAGCAGCAGAGAGGGCTTAGGCAGGCCATACTTCCCTGCATGTCCTGCTGGAATCCGCAGTCTTCCTTCCCACCCTCTCCTCAGCTAGTTTCAAAATGGGCTTTCCTTGGCGCTCTCGAGCCCCACTGATTTCTTTTTGTGTGCTAATGTTCATTTTTCTCTGTGAGCATGTATTAATGTACGACAAGTGCTTGCAACATACCAGCACTGTGCCGAGCGCTCCTATGTGCATTTTCTCATGTGATTCTCACAACCCAGTGCATAGAAGTGCTGTCCCAATTTTACAGATGAGGGACCTAAGACTCAGTGAGGTCAATGGATGCCAAAGGGACAGAGCTGGAACTCAGTGCAGACAGCGGTTGTGAGGCCTCCAGCCTGCCCTGTGAAGAGATGCTGACATTTACTGTGTGCCAGGGCTTGGGCCCTGTACATTAGAAGTCACACTCCCAGGGTCCCTCTCCAAGTCAAGGCCTTTCTGAGCACTATTTAAGGATCATCTCATTTAATTCACATGACCCGATGGAGTGGGCTAGAAGTTCTCCAGGTCCAACCCTGTTCGTTCTTGAGTTTTGACAAGAGCTTGTGTAATGAGTGAGAGGAACCACTGCGGCTAAACCCATGTGGTTCCTCAGTTTCTGATAATGAATAGTGAGAGTTTGGATCATTTATGAACTTTAGCTGAATCTACTCAGTTTTGGAGTTTGAATAGCCAGGGTTCAGAAAGTGGGATGTTGGATCCCTGTGTGGAAGGGAGGCATAGATTGGGTAGGTGTATAATAAGTAAGTGCCTCTACAGCAGGATCAGCTGGACTCCTTGCCTCTGCCTCTGAACTGTTTCTCTGCCAGCCTTTTATCACGTCCCCATTTGATAGATGAGGCAACAGGTTCCGGTCTGTCCAGCCCAGGACTTTCTGAACCTAACAGCCAAGGCACTTGCCCCTGAGCCCAATTTCTGCCTAGCCTCAGCACTGACTCCAGAACGTGATAGGACTGAAGAGGCCGCTTCCTCTCTGCTTACAGGTTTGGGGCTCAAGAGCCAAAGCCAGCGATCCCAGCTGGAGGAAGCAGTGACAGCGCTCCCAGGCCAGACTGGTGTTGATGTGACTGTGGCCTGGAACCCTGAGGAGGCCAAGGCCTGGGAGAGTGAGGCCCGGCTGGGGGCACCCATGGGCCGGGCAGCGGGCGTGCGGCGGGGGCGGCCACCAACACGCAGGCGGCAGTTCCGTGATCTGGCGGCTGAGAAGCCGCACAGCTGCGGACAGTGCGGCAAGCGCTTCCGCTGGGGCTCAGACCTGGCGCGCCACCAGCGCACGCACACAGGCGAGAAGCCGCACAAGTGTCAGGAGTGCGAGAAGAGTTTCCGCAGCTCCTCAGACCTGGTGCGTCACCAGGGCGTGCACACGGGCCAGAAGCCGTTCTCCTGCTCAGAGTGCGGCAAGAGCTTCAGCCGCAGCGCCTACCTAGCGGACCACCAGCGCATCCACACGGGCGAGAAGCCCTTCGGCTGCAGCGACTGTGGCAAGAGCTTCTCGCTGCGCTCTTACCTGCTGGACCACCGGCGTGTGCACACCGGCGAACGGCCCTTTGGCTGTGGAGAGTGTGATAAGAGCTTCAAGCAACGCGCCCACCTCATTGCCCACCAGAGCCTGCATGCCAAGATGGCCCAGCCCATGGGATGAGGGGTGCGGTGAGGATTCGAGGGATCTCCCCTAGGATGAAGCAGCAGCATGGCCACCTTCTTCCACTGCCACTATCTGTAGCCACCACCTTGCTGCTTGCCCTGCCTTTCTGTGCCCCAGGACCTGGCCAGCACTTCGAAGGAATGGAAATCCCCTGTGACCTCATTACCATTCTTCCTACTCTGAGGGTTTCTCTTGCCCTCTGGCTTCCTGGAGCCCTAGCACATTCCTGGCCCATGACCTTAGCATGGGGGAAAGACTGGGGCAGCAAGGAAGTGTGAAAACTCCAGCAGGGCCTGGGGTCCCCCATCCAAGGAATCCCCGCTTCTCAGTCTTGCTTGCCCCATGGCTTTTTGTTCCCTACCTTCTTAGCTGGGCCCATGAGCCAGGCTCTCTGCCCTGCCAACCTGTGCCTGCCTTCAGGGGTGGAGGACAGGCCTTGATCACCAGGGGCTGCCAGGCTCTGGGAGGCACAGTCAACCCACACCTGTGAGGATCTGGGTCCTGGGTGTGGCCAGAAGGGCTTTCTGGAATCCAGCCCTTCCCATTTCCAGGCCATGACCACTGTGCCCTGACCTGGTGACACCAAAGGAAGTTGCCTGCTGCCACACTCTGCTAACATGCCCCTGCATGAGTCTTCAGAGCCACCCCTTGATGAGGCTAGTGGTGGCTCCAGGACACAGGCCGGCCATACAAACCAGGAGCAGGGCTGGCTCCCATGCTCCTCTCCTGCAGAGGCATGGGGTTTATAGTACTTAACACTAGCACTGTCAGCGCTTCTCACTGACTCCTTAGGCACTGCATTCCATGGGATTGCATCATCTGCAGATTGGCATTCACAGGGACACACCACAGGCTCTCCAAAGGAGCTCCACCCATTGTGCCTCAAAAGGGCAGCAGAAGAGTTTGAATAAATGTGGAAAATTCTTCCAGGCTATTTTGTTCTTTAGGTGGCTGCCAGGTGGAGGGACCTGAGATTCACACTCTCTGGCCTCTTGATCTGGTAGTCCTAGTGGCATATGGTGTTGGGTGGTCACCAGTTGAGCTGGGCTCCAAAGGGTACCCTGAGCCTCAAAACTAATCCTCCTATGTCAGCTTGGTCTGGGGGCAGCTCAAGATGGGAGAGCAGGTAGCATCCTTTCCTACCCCAGCAGAATGGGGATGTTGAGCAGGACTTAGAGTCTTTGCCAGGCCACTCCTTTTCTCCCCATTGGTGAAATGAGGAAACAGGCTCAGAGATGGGGTGACTGGTCAGGGCGGTGGTGTGCTCATGTTGATCCTTGTGCTCAAATCTCTTAGGGAGAGAGGGCTACTGAATCAAAATGGGCCCTGTCCCTACTCCCCATGTAGCCCTTGACATCTGACCCCTCTCCTGCCCAGGCCCCAGCCTGGGGCCTGCATAAAGCTGCTGGATGCCTGGTTAGAGCTGAGCTTTTCCCAGTTTACCTGGTGGTGGCTTCCCTGAGGGGTGACAGGGCTGGCTGAGACAAGATGTGCTGTCCCTTGGTATGCGTGCCAGCCTCTCTGCCCCCTGGGCCTTTCCTCAGACAGCCTCCCATTTAATACTTGATCTCCCAAGGTTGCTGTGACACACCCCGCTTCCCATATAAAGCAACTAGGGTCTCATCGTGGACAGCTGACTTCAACTGGGGGCTTCTGCATCTGGAGCAATACCCTTTACTCCCTGTGTCTTCCTGCTTGAGGCTGCTGTGTACACATGTGTGAGCACCTTGCATGAGAGTGTAGTGACGGGTAGCAGGAGCAGTGCACAGACTTTTTTAGTGCTGGTGGCTGGCTAAGAAGGGAGACACTCGGGTGTAACGAGATCAGATAAGAAGTAGCCCAGGAGCTAAGAATAGGCTCCTGGCTCAGATGGAGGCTTGTCAGTGCATGCCAAGAAATAGCCTGCTGCACCCTGAGAGCTGAGCAGGGACTGGGAGAGCGGGGATCCAGGGAAGGGGACAGAGTCCGGCTTAGCTCATAAACAGAGCTGATAGGTTGGGGCACAGAGAGAGGGCAAGGGTCGGGACCCAGGGTATTGACACGGGCCAGGAGGTGAGCTCTGTGCTCAGAGGAAGCACACACCTGGCCTCCATGGCCTTCCTGGTGTCTGGGACACTGCAAGTGGCTGCGCAGATGGCCGATGCTCGAGAGAGCCTGCGAAGAAAGGTAGTAGGAGGCACTGCCTGGCCCAGTCCTCTCCTGGCTTCCAGCTGAGCCTTACCTGGCCCAACTCTGACCTTGCCTCCCCAGGGGAAGTACAACCTGCAGGGTCCAAGGGTGGCTCTGACTCTCAGCAGTCCTGAGGTATCGGCCTCTACAGTGGCTGTCCTGGAGAGTGTGTTCCAGACCCTGGGCTTTCAGAGCTGCCAGAGAAGGAAGGCCTCCGTCCAGGTGAGCCCCAGCTACCTCCTACCTCCACCCTCAGCCCCACCTGGTGCCTCCCTGGACCCAGGCCTGCCCTTTACTCTTACTCTAGGACTTCCATGGGGAGCTGACTGGGTTCCGGGAGCAGCTGGATGCTCACGGGGGCCCTGTAGGCTGTGCCCTAGTGGCCTTGGTGGCCCCCAGCGGGCAGCTACAGCAGCTCCGGCCACTGGTCTGGGAGCTGAGCCACTGTGGGGCCCTGCAGGGCTGCCCTAAAGTCTTCCTACTACTCTCAAGCATTCCTGGGGGTGAGTGGCTGGACAGGGATCCTGGTGTGGGATAGGGCAAAGCAGGGTGGGGTGGGCATGAGGCTGAGAACCTCCAACACTCTGATTCTCCACCCAGCTGCCCCCAAGCCTGGAGCCTTTCTCACTGGCCTGAATGAACTCTGTGGCCGCTGTCCTCACTGGTCCCTGCTGCAGCTGCTGACAGAGGTGGGGGCCTCAAATGGGGTGTCTCAGGGAGGGCGCTGTACTGGTTGCCTTCCCTGAGCCCCTTGTACAGTTAAATTCATTCACATGCTTCCTGTCCATTCATTCTATAATACCATTCTTCAATTCATTGTTTACATGGGTGGTGTCAGCCTCAGGGCCTCACCTCCCACCCCCCACCCCATGCCCTTCCTCACACCCACTGAGGATCCCCAAGACATTCCAACATCTTCACAACTCCATGCCTTTGTCCCACCTACTCCCCTTTGCTTGCTTTGCCCTCCCTGTCATACCAGCCAGCCTTATAGAGTTTCTTCCAGGCTATTAGCGATGTCCTTCCTCGCACTCCCAGAATCAACGTTTATACTTCTGCCCACCCCTGTTCACACTCACTCAGGTGATGACTGTTCCATCAGACTGCAATTCCCTGGATGCCAGGGTTGGGAATGATTCAGGTCTGGTCCCAATGTCCAAAGGTCTCACTGGACACTTGGGTGGCCCTGGGTGATCCTGCAGGTGAGCAGTGGACCCTGGCTCTGCTCCACGACTTTCCCTAGCCTGGTGCCTTCCCCTGAAAGACAATGGTTAATGATGTGATCACTGTGTCATCCATGTCCAAGGAAGCCTATAATTTGAAATAGATTCCCCCTTGTACCCTCTCCCTCTTTCATCTGTCTCTTCCTTCTTTGATCTAGCAGGGGACCCTAAAGAGAGTAGTAGCTATGAGTCTGGCCAAGCCATTCTTCGGAGCCAGTGCCCCACCATGTTCCCATGGAATAGCCCCCTGAGGGTCCTGTGGCCCTACCCTCCCTAGGTCTTCTGCAGGACGGCTGAAGAGTATGCAGGGGCTACCTACTGCCCAGTCCTTCGGAGTTCCTTGCGGGGGGCATTGTGCCTAGGGGATGTGGAGCCCTGGGGACCTGAGGTGAGTGGGACAGAAAGAGATGTCCAACCATGTGGCAGCAGCAAGTGAGACAGAGGCTCAGGGAGACCCAGAGTAGGGGAGGTGAGGAGCTGGGAGGTCCTTAGACCATTATTAATGTACCTTAACTTGTCTATAGCCAGAACCCAGCCCTAGCACTCAGTACGACCTATCTGGGGCCAAGGCCGCCCTCCTCCTAGCGGTGATCCGGGACCGGTCTGGGGCACAGCATGACGTGAAGGCACTGGGTGGCCTGTGCCAGGCCCTGGGCTTCAAGACTACCCTGAGGACAAACCCTACAGCTCAGGTGAGAAGAAGCCCAGAACTTCTGGTGGTGCTCTAAAGCAGCAGTCCCCAACCTTTTGGCACCAGGGACTGGTGGTCCTATGAGAATCTAATGCCTGATGATCTGAGGTGGAGCTGAGGTGGTGATACTAGCGCTGGGGAGTGGCTGCAAATACAGATGAAGCTTCTTTGCTTCTTTGCTTGGCCGCCACCCACCTCTTGCTGCGAGGCCTGGTTCCTAACAGGCCACAGTCCCCACCCAGGGGTTGGGGACCCCTGCTCTAAAGGAAGGCACCCCCGCAGGATCCTGGGGACTCTGTCCTAGGCCTCTCACCTATGGTGGGCAGGGCAGGAAGTGTAACCCTCAAGTCCAGCCTCCATCCTCCCTTCTGCATGCATTGGGAACCCACTTCCCTGCCTCTGGAAGGTTGGTCTCCAGGACTCCTATGGCCTCTCACACTGGCCATTTCTCTGCTATCCTGCTCAAGGCCCCAGCTGGACCCTCAGGCTTTTCCTGGAAGGATCTCCTGTTTCTTCCCTGACACTGGTCAGCTCACTGCCCTCCCGTCATGCCTCTTAATATTTTGGTGCTGGAGAACTAGCTGCAGGAGGCTAGAGCCACATGTCACCTCCAATGAGGCCATGTCAGGCCTTGCTGCAGGAGGATTTGAAGGACTTCCTCTTTGAGACTAATGCTGGCAGGAAATGGGAAGTAGGGTGCGTGGAGGCTGCAGAAGCCTGACTGGAGGGCTTCCAGGTACTGGTGAGGCAGTGGCCCTGGCTCAGGCCTCAATCTTGTCCCTACTCCAGGCTTTCCAGGAGGAGCTGGCTCAGTTCCGGGAGCAGCTGGATACCCACAGGGGCCCTGTAAGCTGTGCCCTTGTGGCTCTGATGGCTCATGGGGGGCCTCAAGGGCAGCTGCTGGGGGCTGATGGGCAAGAAGTGAAGCCAGAAGCACTGGTGCAAGAGCTGAGTCATTGCAGAGCCCTGCGGGGCTGCCCCAAGATCTTCCTACTTCAGGCTTGTCGTGGGGGTGAGTGGGGTGTGGGGCCTTCTCTGGAAGCCGAGCCAGATCCTGGCCTCTAGCCTGGATCTGCTTGCCCTAGATTTCCTCACCTAGCCCTCAGCCTCCCAGAACTTGCTGTCCACCTTCTCCAGGAAGCCTGAGCACTAGCCCTTTCCCCACTCCCTCTCCCAGCATCCCCTAGACATCAAGTCCATGAACTTGAGCACTTTATCTTCAGCACATGTCATTTGGCACTCTGAATGTTTCCAGCTTGGCAAGCTTGTCCAGAAATTCTGAAGGCTGGGGTCTGGACACCTGGAGGCACCCTTAGGTGTCTGCTAAGTAAAATAACCTGCCTGTCCCCTCCCTCACCAGGACACAGGGATGCCGGCATGGGACCCACAGCTCTCCCCTGGTTCTGGCGTTGGCTACAGGCACCACCAGCCATTCCCTCTCACGCCGATATCCTCCAGATCTATGTGAATCACCAAGGTGTCTCTAATTTCCTTCTGGAGCCTCGGCTTGGGCAGGCTTGGTGGGGGTAGCTGTCTGGAGCACATTTCCAGAGTTCTAAGCTGGAGTCCTGCTGCCACATCTATCCTTTCTTTTCCAAGAAGATGGGAAGGGAAACTGTCTTAAGCTATAAGGGCCTTTGAAAAATCAAGGGCTTCTCCCCTACTTGAGCCTCGAAACAACTCTGGAGTCAGGAAAGTGAAATAGCTTTTCTGAGGTCTCACAGCTGGTAAGTAGCGGGGATGAGATTTAAACTCTGATCTGTCTTTCCTGCCCTGCACTATGAGACACTATGATCGAAGGGAAGTCTCGTACATGGTGGAATCCTAGTGGCTCAGCCTCCTCCTCTAGGCCTTCACCTCTCTCCCACAGAAACCTGGGGAGGCGCATTTTCAGAAAGACAGTGAAGGGAGCTCCTACTTCAGTCATCCAGGGAGGAAGGGTAAATAGAGTTGATCCCTCTTTCAGGCAGCTCCTCCAGGGACCTCACTCCAGGGAGCTCTAACCAGGCAGACATCCTGACTGTCTATGCAGCTGCCGAGGGTAAGAGGACAGGCCATAAAGAAACCCTGTTACACAGGGCCCAGCCCCCTGGCTGGAGATCTGGAGTGGCTCTAGGAGCAGCCAGGGTTTGGCATTTGGGTCACAGGGGCACCAGTCTGGTTGCAGTTAGGCCATCTTCTTTCCACGTTTATTATTTATATTAATAGTAATACCGGTGAGCATGCGTTGCGGCTGACTTTGCCAAGTATTGTACCTGTATCATTCCCTGCAGGTTGTAAGTGCCATGAGAGCAGAGCAGTTCTGTCTGCCTCAGGGCCCTGCCTAGTGCCTGGCACCTAGTCGGTTCACATTGAATGTTCGACCACTATTGAATCCGTCCTGTAATCACTCCGCAAATATCAAGCAATGACTTGTTCCAGAAGCAAGATGTTTCCAATACCTGCCTCATCCCCTTGCCTGACCCCCCGAGTTCCTATCTACTTGCCCCTCACTTCCAATAGGCCCCTGTGGATTGGAAGGCAGCTGGTCAGCCAGAGTCTGATGCTCTTGCCTTGGTCCCCTGGCCTAGGCTGTGTAGCCTATCGGGATGAGAAGGGCTCAGACTTTATCCAGACGCTGGTGGAGGTCCTCAGAACTGCCCCCCAGGGAGACCTCCTGGAACTGCTGACTGAGGTGTGTTGGGAGATGTGGATTGGCAACCGGGGGAGAGATTCCTCCTTCTCCCCTGCCCTGGTGTTCTGATTGCCTCCTGTGCACCCTGTTGGTGAGGGAGGGATCCCTTGCCCTCACTAGTATAAGGTGGCTGAACACATGACACCCACAGCAGTTGAGTCATGTGTACTCACAGCCTGGGGAGAGGACACTGTACACCAGGCAGGGCCACTTAGGAGGTGCACTTGGCAACAGGGTAAAGCAGCAGGGGCAATGGGCTGTAGGCTTTGTAGTAACGGGGTGTTGCAGGAGGAGGTGGTTGACTTGTTTGAATAGTTTTGCAGACTAGCAGGGAATTTAAGCCCTTCAGATTGAGAACAGGTGGGGTGCAGCTGGTCTGGCTGGTGGGGGAACTAGTTAGGTGGGGAGCCTTTCCTGCTGGGTGGAGGGCATTCTAACGAGAGCAGGGGGGCTCATGCTTAGTTTTCTGGGGACCCGTGAGTCCCAAAGATGCCAAGGCAGTACTTGAAATTTTAGGCCTTTTAATACACTTGGTGCCAGGCTGGACCCCAGGAGACCTGGGAGTCCTCGGCACAGACTGAGTATGGTTCTCACAGGTCAATCGTCGGGTGTGTGAGCTGGACGTGCTGGGTCCTGACTGCGATGAGCGCCGCAAGGCGTGCCTGGAGATTCACAGTTCGCTGAGGCACCGGCTCTGCCTGCAGGCCTGACTTTTCCTCCAGCCACTCGGTTAGTGCTGACAATGGGCAGCCACACCCCAGTGCCGCCACTGACTGACTCCATCCGCTTCTGTTACCTCACTTGTAAACGGGGCATCACAGCAGGGCGCTGGGCTCAGTTGCCATGCAATAAACTTCCATTGATGATCGTTGCACCCGTGAATAGTGTCTGCTCTCAGGGAGGTGCAACAATAAGTGAGATATAGTATGCAAAGTGCCTGGAACTTATAAGGGTACTTTTGTGCCCTTGAGGACCAGAGGTTGGGCCTGCAGGGGATGGGGGAACAGCATCCAAGATTAAGGAACCCAATATGGGCTAGGGTGGGCTAGATGTTCTGAGAAGGGGCAGCCCGGGATTCACATCGCTCTTTCAGCACACGACCCCCACCTGTGCCCGTGCTGGGCCATGGAAATGCAAGAGATGCAGCCTCTGCCTTGACGGCTGTCAGAATCTAGTCTGGGGCCACAGATCTGCAACAAAGCATTGCAGGTTTAGCAGTGCTGGATGGTAGACGCGCAGGGGCTGAGGGAGCAGTGGGCAGCTCCAGACTCAACGCAGGTTGGGAGCACGTGGGAAAAGAGATCTTAAGGAGCCTCTCGGAGAGGGAGGGGCCTGGACGGCCTCACTGGGGCTCGAATTCGTAATCGCAGACGCCAGAGGGCGGTCCTCCTGCAGCAGTCTGTGTTCAGTTCAGCGCAATAGCTCAGCTCAGAGCCCCGCCCACACAGAATTCGAGGGGGCGGGGTTCCCCTCCAGTCTGAACATGCGCATCAGTGCATATTTCGTGGGCTCCTGAAGAAGCTTTATGAGAAAAACTGGTTTTCTCTTCGTCGCAAGGCCGCGTGGCCTAATGGATAAGGCGTCTGATTCCGGATCAGAAGATTGAGGGTTCAAGTCCCTTCGTGGTCGCGGCAGAGCTCGGTTTTCCTCCCTTCGCTGGTAATTTTCTCCCTTTCAGGACTGCTCCCTACGCAGCTATAAGACCCAGTACCATTTACGCGCCCTCCGGCCACTGGCAGTCAGCCCTGCCACTACAACCGCGGAGCTCGGGACCCAGGTTCAGGATGGCGCTAGTTGCGACTACGAGGGCCCTACCGGCCGTACTGATGCTGGCTGGACCCGGGAGGACTGCGGACCCTGAAGTCACCGGCCTCGCGTTCCGGGAGTCCACTGGGAGCCTACTGGGAACTAGTTACATGAAATACAGTTCAGACGAAGAAAATTGTAATAGATGAAGTGTTGGGCTTTTTTGAGGGGTCGGGGGAAGTAGGGTAGTTGCCCGGGGTGCATTTTAAAAATACAGATTATTGTGATGAAAAAGGTTCGGAAATAGCGATAATGGTTATTTGCCATAATAAAAATGTTTTTACAAATCTAATAGATTATTTCAAGAATTTGCACTGAGAATGTACCCTTAAATGACCGTATATATTAAATATATAGTGAATGTATATATTAAAATTTAAATATGAAGAGCATGCCTAAGATTGAGTTATCATTTTACCTAGAAAAAAAAATCTCTGCCTGCGGAACGGAATTCTCTCAAAAGGATTCTGGCTAAGCGAATAAACAAGGGGATGGGACATCCCTCCACTACGGTAAAGGCTGGGGGAATGGCAGCTGGAGTGTGCACCCTGGACGGTGGGCGCAGATCACCTGGGGTCATGAGGAGTGTCACTTTCTCCTTTATCGTTTTGGTAACATTTCAATGGTTTATTGAGGGCTCATAAACATAAAGAAGAAAAACTTCATGGTAAAGATGGGCAAGAAGAGCCATCTTATAGTAGGAAAGGAAACGCTGACTTCTCTGATGATATTAGTCTCAAGTTCTGCGAATGAGCTAGCGGGGCATATATAGAGCCATTATAGAGGGTCCTAAGGACAAAAACCTAAGGCCATTGGCCTCTGCTAAAAAACCGCGGAGACTTGGGCCCAGGTAACACTTTGGGTCTAAGGGGCAATGCTGGGAGGCGGATGGAGGCAGGGACCCGCACTTTCCCCAAGCGTTCGGCCGGGGCCCCATTCACCTCCGCTCCCACATGTTGCTTAGCAAACGCCTTCATGCTGCTAGTTATTCCCAGACCGGGATTCTCCTAACAAGATGGAGAAAGGGCTCGCCCGGGATTTGATTCCCCGATCTCCTGCACCCTAAACGAAGATCGCATCCTGGACCTATTTAACACCTAAGGCTCCCGGTCTTTGAATTCCGTCTGCGTAAGCACTATCTTTCCTGGTCCGAGGATGCTCAGGAGCAGGCGAGATCTGAGAGGTAATGCGGACGGAATACCGGTGTGGAGGAATGGGGAAAAGGCCGGGATGGAACCGGGAGGTGATTGAAAGATTGGTCTGGGATCGGGAAAGTATTTTCATTGTCTGCCCCGGTGGCCTAATGGATAAGGCATTGGCCTCCTAAGCCAGGGATTGTGGGTTCGAGTCCCACCCGGGGTACAACAGTCAGAATTTTAGACCCCATTCCAAGAGGGGAAAACTTGAAAAAGCAAAATAAGCCTTCCTTAGGTTAGCCAGACGCAGCCCTCAGCCTAAGTCAGCGAAGCCCTGTTTCCTTACAAGGGGTACCCGTTTTCAATTCCGAAAAGAGTTCTGGCGTCTTTTACTCCGTTTTAATAACCATCCATTCTACTTGACGATAAAGGAATAATTGTTCACTTTTCTAGGTGTGTTAATTGTTTTGTGGTTACATATATTTTTAAAAGTCCTTATCTTTTATAAACACACCTAATTATTTAGAGATTAAATTATGACAACTGGTTTGCTTTACAATAATGGGTTAGTAGGGTAGTTACAGGTGGTGACTATAGTTAATGATACTGTATTGTATAGTTGAAATTTGCTATGTGAGTAGATCTTAAGCATTCTCACCACACACACACACAAAGTAACTGTGAGCTGATGAATGTGTTCATTAACTTGACTGTGGTAACTATTTCACAATGTATATGTATATCAAATCATCACGTTGTATACCTTCCATGCATATAATTTTTATTTGTCAATTATACCGCAGTAAAGCTGGAAAAAATATAATGGGCTGATAAAACAAGCTTATCATCAGTTGATAATGGCTGAAGCTGGGGAACATGAGGGCACAATACACTATTTTCTCTGCTTTAGTGCGTGTTTGAAATAGTCCATGATAACGTTTTCTCTTTTTTGAAATCCATGCAATCCATGTCTTCATCCTCAAAGTAAGTCTCCCAAACTACAGGACTTGGTGTACAGTAAGATCAGAAGCCTCCTAAGTAGACCACATGCCTGTAGAGGGGATGACCACTGGAGCTTTGTCATACAGACATATAAAAACATAGCTCTCTTTGCCTTCAAAACCCATGAATGGGATTCCTCTGTTCCTCCAGCTCTGGCATTACTTCTCCCACTTATGGAAACATCTGGGGCCCCATCGTCCCCTCTGAAATCAGAGATCTTATCTCAATACAGTATCTCCCACCATCATCCCTGGCCTAAGGAGAATGGATTCCTGGGTCCTTCCTTTGAGCTTAGAGGCACCAATGAAAGCTGAGGGCCACCTCTTTTTCAGAGATCTGCTTTCAAGCTACCTAAGGCCCTTTCCAAACTTCTTTTAATAAGGGAAGAGGTGAGATTATTAAAAGTTATAAGTTTGTGCTGGTGTCTCTAATGAGCCGTAATGTGGCTGATTCTGTGAGTGTTGGGAAAACTTCAACCTGGATTCAGCTGTGATTTCTGGAATGAATTGTTGCTGCATGGATTTTTAAAAAAGCGAGAAGGAGGCAGAAGGAACAGGAAGCAGGAAACAGTTCCTTCTTCCTCCTGCAGCCTTTCATAATCTCTAGCTCATCTTCTTCGCAAAACCACGAATCAGTTGGCAAAGCAGTCTCAGGAAAGTCTAGAAGGAAGGATTTGAAGCATAGAGGTAGGAGTGTAATAACTGGTGCAACAGCCCTATCCTGCTTCTTCCACTTCCTACGCGTTTCTCCTGAGAGTGTTCTCGTCATGAACTGACTACGCAAAAGTCCCCGCTGCTCAGTGTGCTGTATCTGGAACTTTTGGGTCAATATCAACTTCTTAAATTACAAAATGTAGATAATAAACCACTAATCAATCGAAAGAAACTTCCTCTGGTGAGATTAGAGGTCAGCTCCCCCGTGCCGGCCTTCGTGGAACAGCAACAGAATCTTCTTCAGAGAAATTTAGTTTATATGAGTCTATTCTCCTCTAGCCAACGAGGCAAAAGCAGCGCCCAACGTGGGGCTCGAACCCACGACCCTGAGATTAAGAGTCTCATGCTCTACCGACTGAGCTAGCCGGGCCTCACCTTGGGGAATGTCACGCCATAAACTAATTGAAGTTATCTAGAACTTCGCTGTCCTAAAACTATTAGGCCATGCCCTGGATTCTGGGCATGCTGCGTCCCGGGCTTTGGAGCTCTGAACTCCCGGGTGGAGCGCGGGCGCCACCAGGCCCCTGTCTGCTCTCTGTCGTGGGTCTTTGTGACCCCAACAACTCGGGGGAGCTGGAAAGTCGAGGGCAAAGAAGGGCACCAGGGTGAATGTCGCTAGAGATGACCCAGTAAGGAACGTAGTGGGATCCTTGCTTAGGGTGTGAGAAGTGCCAGATTCCAAATACAGACAATCCCTTATTTTCAAATTCTCGGCTTTGTTAAGGGCGTGCAACATGAAGCAAAATCAGGAAAGCTCAGGGCCTCGCCGCGGGGACAAGACAGTGAGACCTTTCTTCCCAGATGGATGCTGGGTCCTTTGCCAGAGCAAGATGGAAGAAAAGTTTGGGGCGTTGGAGCAGCTGCCCATTGGAAAAGAAGTGCGTCCCGACCCCAGCCCTGAGCCCTGCATGGGAGTTCCAGAGCTGCGAGGGTCTTCTGGGGCCAAGGCCAGGCCAAGAGGGGGCTTGTCTGAGGAGCCCCGGGGTCAATGCGGAACCCTGAGATGATCAAGGATCGCGGGGGCAGGCAGGTTGGGGGCGTCAGAGCCTCATTCTTAGGGGCCTGGACTTGTGTCCCACGTTGGGGTCCACTATGAGAGCCCTCCACGCTCACCCAGGCCACGCAACCTTTCTTCCTCTGCCTTGTCACCT